TTGTGTTGGCCTCATGTCTATGATGGTTCTCACTTCATACAGTCAAATAGTCCTTCGCGACTTCGGCAGTGTAGGTTTGCTATTTCAGAGTATTATTCTTTCTAGATTGTCATGCCCATTGGATACTTTCTGCTCCTACTGTGGCTGTACGCTTCCCTTGTACGCTCAACAGACCAACTGAAGCCAAAAGTTTCGTGAATTTCTTATATCCGCTTTCTTATCTCTTTCGCCGAACTGCATTTTTGTCTGTACTTATACTGTACAGTTATTGGACAATCGTTAGTTTTCAAAAGTATTCTTGGATGTTTATCATCCAGGAAACTTCTGTCGCTTCCAATCTTTCATTAGAGTTTATTGTGTAACCGCCCCTTTTACTAGAATTGGTTGTCAGTGGATCTTTGAGGACATGTTATTCCCTTTCATTGGCTAACTTCTAACAAACGACTCCGGCCATTTCGTGGATCACAACCATCTCAGCTGCTTTTAAAACTTGTTCATAGCATTAGAAAATTTCTCCAACGCTATGTACCTAGTCTTTGCTTCCATTTCAGTAGGATGTTATCATTATGTTTATATTTATTTTATTGGATTGTATTACAATTTGTTTCGCACATTGCCTGTATTCTGAGACTCATTGCGTTAAGTGAAATTGCAGTATAGGCACCCGATCCATTTGTACATAGCACGCCCTCCTCACCATTCTTGCAACTTGGCCTCTAGTACACGTTCATCGTCGGACAGTGCTGTTGCTGTAGGCACAACTAGTCTTTGGAGTATGCAAACATTGTCATGTGTGATAGGTGATGAGGAAATTTATCATTGTGCCTTTTGCCATTTGCAATAAATAAGGGAGTATCTTGTGGTTTTGCACCATTGCCATAAGTTTCAATCGAAGAATGGTCTTTTGAAGACCAACTTGTTTATTTTTTCACTCGTTTTAAGCCTAAACTAGAGGTGACGGTTTTTGGTCGGGTTTCCACTTCAGCAAATGAAAGTATTGTAACTTACTCGCTAAGTAGGTCAAATGTTTATCCAGATGTTCCTATTTCAGTCATACCGCTTTATTATTCTTACATTCACACTCGCTCCCCCATTTATTGTGAACCGTTTTACGCTCTCTTAGACTTTTATTAGGTGACGAGATTTTGGTCGACAGCAGCCTTGGTGGATTGCCTTTTTAAGTCCCGATGTCATCCTCGACGTCGGCATGTACAGTTGTAGCTATCCTGCCATCTGCTTAATTTGGCTTTTTTCCCTCTAAGTTCTAGACTTTTTGTCTTGAGCATCCATGTCATTCTCAGTCCAATTAATCTCATTTTTCTACGTTGGACTCCCCTACGGAGTAAATTAGAAATTACTATGGTGAGGATGTGCAGGGGAAAGGCC